TGACCATGGCAGGGGCACAATTTTGTACGGAAAGGGATCCTGAGGACCAGAGACACTCCGCAAGTGTCTGAGCCAACAATTTAACCTTGCAGAACACCAACCAGCATGTTCCATGTGCAGTAGCACAGCGACAGCCGCGTTTGCCTGATGAGCTGTGATACTTTAGCGGATCTGGGAACCTCAAAGCTCCTCTTAGCTGCCGGCGCTTGCAGTCGTGTTGAAGCCAGTGTGCACACTTCTACTTGTGAGCCCCAGTGGTTGATGCTACTTGTGTCTGCCGATTGGCCCAGCCGGGAACAGCACACTCCTGATATCCCTCTCCAAACTGATAGAAGGGTGGCAGGCGTGGGGCAGGAACCAGGCTCATGCAAATACTGACAAGAATGGTGGGAGATGGTGGAAGATATTTGATATTTGAACCTTACCTCCTTGGCGAGCTGCAAAAAAACCTCCCGAAAGGCCTACCTACTGCGTCTGCGCGCCTTCAAATCCAACCCCATCCAGCAGCTTCTGCTTGGAATATGCCTGCGATGCTGCGTTCAATCCCCTTGCATCTGCATGATGGCTGATTTGTCTTCTTTGCAATCCTTGCCGGGTCACTGACGGAGAAGGGACCATTTTGGAACACCGATTGGCATCGTTTTGAAACACGGATTGGGAACATCGATTGGCGTCATTTTGGAACACAAACACTACGTGGTGACCATGTAAGATCTTTACTCACTCTAGTCCACCTTCTCCCTAAACCTCTGGAAGCCATGGAAACCATGGGCACGGTGCGCACCCTGGAAAGCCTGGAAACCGTGTATACCGCAGAAACCCTTTTTTCCGGGATGCTACGCTGCAGGAGAGGTCTGAGCCAGGCTGCTGTCACACACTGCTGCTCCATTGCTGCATGCGTCACAGCGCACATGCCTGATTTCAGGTATGTCTCTTTGGACATTGAAACACACCTGCCCACTTACCCATTGGAACCGGTTAGGCATGGGCTGGTGCTCAGCTGGCAAGTTGCAGTGCAAAGGTGTGCCACAGATCTTGTTGACACAACCGGGTCAACGAAAGGCATCGTCACCCTTCGGTTAGCAGTGCAATAGTTTTGTACTGCACTTGATGCCATACCTGGGCGTTGCTGTGCTCTGCTCTGCGTCCTCTCTATGAGCTATTCCTGCAAAAGCGTGCAAGATATCCGGCACCTCAGGCCTCCACTGCTTGTGAGTCTTCGTGGTGGGCTCCTCATACCTTGAGGCGTCTGCAGGCATCTGCATCTAGAGACGTTTGTGAGGATCCTTTGAGCTTGCCTGAACTTGTTTTGAAGCTTCTCAATTTCCGCTGTGGCTTTCAGGCAGCGTTCGATCCTGGCATCTTCAGAAGAAGTTCTCAAGTGGCAAACCTGCGGGAAAGAAGCCACGCTCAAAGGCAAGGCCAGGTCCTGTGTTCCACATCATTCTCGGACTCCATGCCCCTCGCAAGGACATCTAGGGGTCCCTGAGGTGCGGAATTGATTTGGCCATACGCAGGCCTCAAAGTCCCCCAGAATGCTGCACACTTGGAGCGGGCTTCAATCCTGAGCAGCGCAATTTACATTTACATTCAGTCACGATATTTTGGCCGCTGAACAGGCCCAACATTGATGAGTACAACCCTCAAGATGAAACATCTTCGTGCTGCCACAGGACATGTCCTGCTTTTTCGTCAGCACGATGCTCTCAGCAATCTGGTTCATGGAGCACGTCCCCTTCTGAATCTTATTCACTAGCTCTTCACCTGCCGGTCAGAGCCATTGGCAGTTGAACCAGTCACGCTGTGGAAGCACTTCCGTAAGCCAAGCTGCGTTAAACACTTGCCAGATTCACCAAGGCACATTCACTTTTTTCTGCGAAATCTGCCTCCCCCAAAAGTGGGCCTGATGAAAAACGGATGCGACGCATGCGTTCTCATGATGTGCCAGTACCGAAGTTCTGCACATGACCTAGCATCTACCGCAAACGTACACAAATCTGGATATCGGACCTGGCTTGGCCACTTCAGTAAATTGCTTCGCATATGATTGACGGCAAGCTCTCATCTTCGATTTACGAGATCATCCTCTTTGAATTCTTGCCTTGTGGCTTTTGCTTTGATTTGCTTTGTAGATTGTAGGGCAGAGTCCCAGGGGGGGGCAAGCGCCCACCTCCTGTGGTTCGTCCAAGGTTGTTTCCCTTCATGAAACAAGATTCCTTGCTTCACACGTTCCTCTTTTTGTCTTGTTCTTATCTTATGAACACCCTCTCATGAGTTGTTGTCTTCGTAACTGCTCTCCCGTGCACCATGATCATGACATGCCAGGTCAGGGAATCAAGCAATTTGCAGATCCTGCTTCACTATGCCCGGCTACGACCTTTTGCATGCCACCGTGCTTGTAAGGCTGCCTATAGACTAACATCCGTGATGGCAGTACAACCCAGACACTGCAGTGACATGTGCATCAGTCACAACTAAGGCAAGCTCGCGGCGTATCGACGATTTCAGTTCCATCTGGATCTTCCAGAACCACAGGTAGCTCTTCCGAATCTTCATAGAGCCCACTGTCAGCGTCCCCGTGTAGCGGTGCAATGCCTGATGAGTTTAGATCGAAGAACATTGGTGCAATGCGCTATTCATGAAGGTGGCCAACCGCGCCGGAGCCGCACCGAACAAGAAAAAACAAACATCTGTGTTTTGGGGTCGGGGGTTCCCAAATGATTTTTCCGAAGCTAACAATTCTGTGGCCCACATCTGACAATGTCTGTGGTTCGGGATTTGGGGAGATCCATGGTTGCTGGATGACTTTACGAGGCTTGGAATTGGGAGGCCTCCAAAATCATGTTTGCAAGACCTGGAAAAACCGGTGTCCGTTTGGCGACATTTGTGGTTTGTGGTCGGGGACCTTCCCACAAAGTTCTGTCCATGGCTGAAAAAATCATGTGGTCTCCGTCAAGCACAATCTTGTTGACTTAAGACCGAAGATTTCACAAAAGGTTTGCTGAGCCAGCAAAGTCATTTGCCTATATCTGGCAACATCCGCGGTTCAGGATTATTGGGAATCCAAGGCTGGGGAAGGAGCAGCCTAAGGCTTAGGCAATCACGTGGCCCACGCCTGGCAACGTACCTTCCCAAATGACTTTATGAGGTTTGGGGTTGGGAGGCATCCAAAATGATTTAGAAACCCTGGACAAGCCATGTGACCTTTGCGTTCGAGAGTCGGGCAGGCAGTTGTGCAATGGACACAGGAACCGCATCAAACCGAGAAGTATACAATATTAACCCATGCAAAGACCCAACAGCAAGTCAAGTCAGAACCTAGTTTTAATGAATGTTGCTCTCATCCAAGAGCTCCTGCGGCGGGGATGACGGGTTTACTTGGAACTTTTCACCTCGCCCGAGAACTAGCGGCCCCGACCATGCAGTTAAGAGATATACAAGGTAGAAGCATGGCGCCAAACCCCGAAAAGATAGCCCAAAAGACAACGGGGTTTGGGTAAGGTAAGATCATCGGGATCAAGGGCCAGAAGGGGCGATTATAAGAGGAATACTGACATCAAGGCCCTTAACAGGACGGGGTTTATTGTTCACGGGTCTACATCAGGGGGTGGAAGGGTGGTTGAAGGTAGGCAAAAGTGTTAATTTCAGGATGATCCCTGCACAGTCCTCCTGTGGGATTTCCGTAGTCATTGTCTTGAAGCCCCAAACCCTAAACCCTTAACCCTAAGACCCCAAACCCTAATCCCTAAACCTTGAGCCCTAAACTTGAAGCCGCGTAGACCGCTCAAAGGTATTTATTTACCCAGCGACTCTAGAGGCCCTTTTTTGTCCGAGTAAAAGACGTTAAGGTTTAGGGCGTAGGGTTTACGGACCAAAACAGCATAGCCGAACGCGTGCGATTTGGCAGTATATCCCTACCTTCTCTTGGTTGGTATGCACCTGATTAGGTAACTTAGGGGGCGTATAATTGGGCTGTAAGTATAGTTCTAATTGGGTTGCCATGACCATGGACCTCCAAGTTGGAAGCCATACACTTTGCAGGTTGAAGCTCCTTCATGGAGCGAGGAGGAATAAGCTTCTATTTTAGAGTAAACCTGTCCAATACATGCAACCTGCCATATCATCCCCATACAAGTTCAAGGCTTAGGGAACCCGCGCACAGAGCCCGATTTAATCCTTACACAACAACAGCATCAACCCCATATATCGGTCTATGTTACCCTATGCCGTAGACCCTAAACCTTAACCTTAGACCTTAAACCCTTAACCCAAAACCCGAAACCCGCCTGTATAGCAGGAATGATACTTTCTCCAGCTTCCACATCCAGCGTGAGATCACAGCAGCGCTTGCAGGCAACTTGGTGCCAGCAACACTCAATGGCCCGTGGCGGGCGCCTGTGCACCAGTGCTTGAGCCTCCGCTGCAAGTCCCCTCTTCCCTACCAGCAGAGCAGTTGACGCACAGCGACATTCTGCACGGCCCTTCGTGCCGATTCGCATCTCGGCATGAACACACGCACGCATCAGCACAGGCATCACTCGACCGCCCTCACTCTGAAGAGGAATACATCGACCTTGCAACGCCGTCTGCAGATGAATCGTCAGCCTCGGTAGGACATGGCCCGCACAGCCCCCTCTTCGACGAGGGAGCAGAGATAGTAGAGCAGTTTGCACCAGACCATGCCTCATCTGCAAGCGAATCAGAGGAGGACCCACGAGACGAGCAAGCCGGCCGGGCCATGGGGTTGCATGCATGCACCAACACAGCATTCACTTGAGCAATACATCCTTGCACTGCCCTCCATGTGCACGTTGGCAACCGCCAAGCTGCGAGCACGATACGGAGCACACCTTGGCCCAGCATCGTTTTTTGTTAACTCATGCAAATAAACATATGCGGGCGTAGAGCGTGCCTGCTAGCAACCGCGGACTGTTAAAACAGAGCTTTTTTGTGACTGCATGGTTGCATGCCTCCCCGTTTTCCACACCACAACTTGTCAGGTCTTTATCGACTCCTTCGACTACATGTGCCCCATGCTCTGCTCTGTCCACAGCTGCACTTGCGCGCACTTTTCGCTTTCCTCAGCTCTGTTGGCTCCACTTTGGAGGTTTTAAAGGTCCCCCCCTCTCCTCTTAGCAGCTTCACGGGTATGGACCCCAACTGGGATGTAGACTCCAACAAAGGCTTGCAGTCCCTCCAGGGACACGTTCAAGTGCCAGAACAGCTTCAGCAGGCCCTGCTGGACACTGGCATCGCCAGCATTTCAGACTTTGCATATGCATACATTGACGCACAAGATCTTTCCGACTTCGTGTCAAAGTTGCCTTCTCCGCTATGGGAGCAGCTTCGCATCACAGACCCAGATCACAGCCCAGCAGTTGCACGACTCTGCCGCACCTTAGACATGCGCAAGCAAGCAGCCAAGCACAGCGATGACGCCTCCTTGCCTTCCGGGCCCTCCGCACCGCCCTCCACTTTAGCTTCCGACATGTGGGCAGAGCATGCTGAGCATGCACTCCCACGCCTTGACGCAGAGGCAGCGCAACGCATGCAGAGCAAGTTCAAGGCAAACTACCCGGGCGAACATTGAGACGCAGATGCAATGCCAAGCATTCGTTTATTCAGCTTGCTGCACGTATGGTTCCAGCCCAAAGGCAGCATTAAGTGGGTGCCCTGGCAACTGCGCGCGTGTCACAGAAGCAATAACAGGACATAATCGAGGTTCGCAAGTCCCGCACGCTCCGCACAGAAGCACAGCTCGTAAGCAGCGCGCACCTGAGCCCAGCATGGTTCGCACGCACCCAGCAAATCTTCAGAAACGCCATTGCGTCTTGCAACGGCACGCACCTTGCCACACTCAAAGCCTTCGACAAAAAGGTTCTCGATATTTGCACTCAATTCCTGGGCAGAGACACCGGGCTCCGCACGGTCAATACCCAGGAACTCCTCCACGCTGACCGCAGGCTCTGGAATGAAATCGCGAGCTTGCACGCAGAAGGTTGATCATTGGACGAAGCATTGCACGGAATGACAAGCATCAGAGCAGACATGCACGCCCTGCTTCAGCCCCGTGCCAAGCCCCCTCTGCAACAAGGTGGCAAAGGCAAGCAAGGCAAAGGCGGTGGCAAAAAAGGCGGCAAAGCGCGAAACAAGTTCCGTGGTGAAAATCTGTCGGGGCTCTCACAGAGGCAGTGCAGAATCTGTAAATGAAGCGTGGCAACAAAACCCTTTGTCTTCGTTTCAACCGCACGTCCTGCACAGATGCCAACTGCAAGTTTACGCACCTATGCGCCATCAGGCTGCCCAATGGACAGGCACGCGGGCAGAAGCACCCAGCTTCAGCAGACAGGTTCAAGCCCGTGGACAAGGCCGAAGCCCGTCCAGCGCCGCCTCCAAGCACTTGACAAACTCCAGGGGTTGCTTGCAAGGGGGAAGCCTTGGATCAATCTCAGACCTCGCCTCACACAGCACAGGCGCCCGCCAGCGCAGCAACAGCCAAGACATCCAAAGCTTCTCCAAAAGCCATACACCGCAAGAGTCCACTGAGGCACCTCCGGCCTCAAGCGTGCACGGAGCCACCTTTCAAGCGCCAGTTCGTCCAGCGACAGCAGCCCGTCACCTGAACGCAGCAAGGCACCTCAACCCTGATTGTTTCTAGGCATAAACTCCCCTCTCAGCAAAGCCATGCGACTCTCGGCACGGACTGCTTGGGCTTAGACCCTTTCGATCTGGACGCCAATCCAGAGCACGACATCTTGAACGACGCGCAACACAGGCTGCTTCTCAGCGTGACAAGCAGCGGCATAGTGGGCTCAGGATGGTCTGCCCCGCCACGCAAAGAACTTTCGCGTCTTAAGCTTAGACAGCCCGGGCCCAAAGCACGACTTTTTCAAAGGACGAGCAACATAGAGCAGACGCCAGCGCCGACATTCACGCAAGGTCCCGACAGGTCTCTGGGCGCATCAAGGAATTGGTGAGGCAGACCGGACTGGAGCCGCACCCCTCGTCAATGGCATGGCTTCAGCCAGACAACGTCACTCTAGTCCGCGAGCTCGCGGCGCGTTGCGCGCACATATAGCACGTATAAGTTGCGGGCTTTCTGCGCAAGCTTTCCAGGCGTGGCCTCTCTGGCACGTACACGCTCGCACCCGCCAGGGTCACACAAAACCATCGCAGGCCTCAAGCAAGGCCACACCTACGTCAGCTTGCTTACAGCGGAACATTGTTTTGCACCTCATGCACTGGGTCTGGGCGGCGCCATCCGTGACTTTGCCAACCTCCTTCCCGAGCCTGTCGTGCGTCGCAGGCCAGCGCCTTGCCATGGGGCCGGCCGCAGTAGCAACGCCGACCACACCCATCCTTCCAGCCCAGCAAAACTGCAGGACATCGCCAGGCACTGGCTGCAATACATCAACCAGCAACAATTATCCGAGCATATCATCAGTCATCTCTCACAGGGCATAGATAGCCACCCACTAGCAGAGCCACAGCAACTATAGATGTCGCAGCGTTTCAACCGCACGTCCTGCACAGATGCCACAACTGCAAGTTTACGCACCTATGCGCCATCAGGCTGCCCAATGGACAGGCACGCGGGCAGAAGCACCCAGCTTCAGCAGACAGGTTCAAGCCTGTGGACAAGGCCGAAGCCCGTCCAGCGCCGCCTCCAAGCACTTGACAAACTCCAGGGGTTGCTTGCAAGGGGGAAGCCTTGGATCAATCTCAGACCTCGCCTCACACAGCACAGGCGCCCGCCAGCGCAGCAACAGCCAAGACATCCAAAGCTTCTTCAAAAGCTATACGCCGCAAGAGTCCACTGAGGCACCTCCGGCCTCAAGCGTGCACGGAGCCACCTTTCAAGCGCCAGTTCGTCCAGCGACAGCAGCCCGTCACCTGAACGCAGCAAGGCACCTCAACCCCGATTGTTTCTAGGCATAAACTCCCCTCTCAGCAAAGCCATGCGACTCTCGGCACGGACTGCTTGGGCTTAGACCCTTTCGATCTGGACGCCAATCCAGAGCACGACATCTTGAACGACGCGCAACACAGGCTGCTTCTCAGCGTGACAAGCAGCGGCATAGTGGGCTCAGGATGGTCTGCCTCGCCACGCAAAGAACTTTCGCGTCTTAAGCTTAGACAGCCCGGGCCCAAAGCACGACTTTTTCAAAGGACGAGCAACATAGAGCAGATGCCAGCGCCGACATTCACGCAAAGTCCCGACAGGTCTCTGGGCGCATCAAGGAATCGGTGAGGCAGACCGGACTGGAGCCGCACCCCTCGTCAATGGCATGGCTTCAGCCAGACAGCGTCACTCTAGTCCGCGAGCTCGCGGCGCATTGCGCACATATAGCACGTACAAGTCGCGGGCTTTCTGCGCAAGCTTTCCAAGCGTGGCCTCTCTGGCACGTACACGCTCGCACCCGCCAGGGTCACACAAAACCATCGCAGGCCTCAAGCAAGGCCACACCTACGTCAGCTTGCTTACAGCGGAATACCCGCCGTCTCTGGCAGCACAGCTCGCTCAGCTTATAGCACCGTTTTGCACCTCATGCACTGGGTCTGGGCGGCGCCATCCGTGACTTTGCCAACCTCCTTCCCGAGCCTGTCGTGCGTCGCAGGCCAGCGCTTTGCCATGGGGCCGGCCGCAGTAGCAACGCCGACCACACCCATCCTTCCAGCGCCAGCAAAACTGCAGGACATCGCCAGGCACTGGCTGCAACACATCAACCAGAAACAATTATCCGAGCATATATGAGTCATCTCTCACAGGGCATAGACAGCCACCCACGAGCAGAGCAACAGCAACTAGATGTCGCAGAGCCTGCGCGCCGTGCAATGAATGGCCAGCCCTTTCGCCTCCGGCTTCTCCAAGCATTTGCACCCAGGCGCCAAGACCCTGAGGCCCAGTTGCCACACTTGCTGCAGCAAGGCGTGCCAGCAGGCATTCTGCAAGAGATCCCTACGAGCCATCAATGGCAGGCATCTCTCGATGACAATGGACTTGATGGCGTCCTACACGGTGCTGCAGGGATAATTTGCGGTTGGGCACTGCAGGGGTACTCTGCGGTTGGCCACTGCAGTTTCTACGCCGTGTCTACATTTCCAGAGCCCGGAACATGCAAAAGCATTTCGGCAGCACGATGCATCATTAGTTCCATTTCCGCTTTCATGTCCGGCCCATTTTCGCTTTCATTTCCGGCCCATTTC